AATATATATATATACTATATATATATATATATAAGTAGACGGAGTTGCTCTACAGCTGTCGCCGTTTCTCGCTCTCAGTCTCCATGCCTCTCTATTGGACCACAGATCATCTGGATTTATCTTGCGTCATAGCCTCTTGCACTCCCTGGTGCCATGCAAGTCTGGGTCTTTCTCTCTCTTCTTTCTGTCGGCACCCATTTCAGGACTCGTTTTGGCATCTTCGTCTGTCATTCGCATAACATGACCGTACCAGACGATTTGTTTTTCTCTATTTCGTCAAGGATAGATTTCTTGACATCCATTTTATTTCTTATATCGTCGTTCCTGATTCTGTCACGTCTGCATATAACAGCAGCTTCTACGCAGTAGTCCATTTCAAGGCCAGCAGCTTCCTTTTGTTCTTTTATCGATCTCCCAGACTTCTGAACCGTATGTTGTACACTCTTAACTAGCGAGGATAAAGACGTCTTTTTAGTATGTTAGTAGATGGTTTTGTTCCATACGACAGAGTTTATACTTCGTGTCCACTTTCTCCCCAAGCATTAAATTGTCTCTCAATTTTGTCATGGCTTATTTCCCTTATTGTTAAAAAGTACACCAAGGAATTATATATTGTTGATTAGAATTTCCATACCATCGCATAAACACTGCGTCCTTGATGGAGGCTTTCATCACCAAAAATTAGATTAAGTTCGTATGTCCGAAAGTTGTAAAAATAATCGCACGAAAATGTTCACCGATTTAATTCCATTTCTGAGCAAGATGAATCTTTTAAGTTACTGTAAAATAACACAAATAGCGCTCGTATGTCAAAACGTCTCTGGTACGTGTAACCTCAAAACATCAACTTTAACGATAGAGGCTGTCAGTTGCCCGATTGGGCAAACACAGGGTTACCAAATCCCGAAACATAAAAGGCAACCTTCGTATATCTATGACTACTAAACGTGAAATAAGCATCGGGTGCGATTTATTTAATTATTTGCCTATCTCCGTCTCCGAGGGTCATTATTTGGGGCCACTGACTTAGGGGACCCCGGAGCGGTGCCCGGATTGCACCAATCGAAATTAGGATAAAGTGGAAAGCAAAGAGATTTCAGGCTAAGGTGTAGTGTCAAAGTGCCTCGACTCATTGGGTAGTGGATTTAAATCTCATCTTGGAAGTGGGTGTTTGTAGTAAAAAAATGTGAGCAGTTACGTGAATGTTCAAATTACTCTCGAATTTCGTAAATGTTGGCCAATTGTTTAATGTAATGTTAATTTAAGTAACAAAATTAAACGGTTATTTAAATTAATTGATTGTTATTATATACATTATGTTTAATAATAATAATTATTATTATTATTATTATTAATGTTTAACTATCGTTGATGTGTTATTCTATTTATAACATTTTATCAGAAAATTTACTTCAGTTGCCTCCAACGTTGTTCACGAATCACAGTCGGACGCGATTTGGATAAATTCAAAACGCACGCTGTCAATTATTTTATAAGCAAATGATTACATTTTAGACGACGTATTGTTTTTCAAGAATATAAGCGCCAAAGTTTCAAAAATAAATATTTTCTGGAGAATCTGTGTAGGATTCAGTGTAAAATGTATCAAATTTTAAAACGAGAATTCTAATCCAGTTAATACACATATTTGCATACTGACAAACGTCCAAGAATACAGGAATAAGATAAAGACCATTACCTAACTGGCACGTTGCAGGAAATTTCCATTCTTTTCTCATTTTTTCCTTGGAAGGAGCAGGAAGAAGCTAAATAAAAATGTCTCTAGTTTCATATTAGAAAACAAGGTGCTGATCCACAAAACAATATGAATCCCTATATGAATATTGGTATGGTATCTAATCCTTGCACAGAATGTAAGAAAAATCTCATTTATTCAGAGATTCCAATTAAAAGGGCTAAGAATGATTACAGTAGCACCGTGGTTTATCTCGCACACAACTCTACACTGAGATCTAAAAATGTCGACAGTCTTAGAAAGAATTGAAACAAATACATGGAACGTTTCTTTCGTTTCTTCAACGTTTGAAAAAACACCCAAATCTTCTAACCGTACACCTAGATAATATCGAAGAAACTACTCGATTAGTCCCCCAATCACACGTAACCTTCAACCCAAAGTTGTTGTTTGTGCGGTAGACGCAGAAGACGATGAAATGTGTCACTGGAATACCTTCCACAAAGACCTCCGCTGTCAAACAAATTGCTTGTACCGTACTTACTAATTATTTTTGTTTAAAAGAGATTATAATTTTCTTTTCATGATCCTATATTTTTCTCTGTTCTTATCACCAACGTCAGGGGCACAAGCAAAATAACTGTAAATGCCGAAAGGAGAATAAAGGTCACATTCCAGTCTGCTAGATTATTTGCTAACTTCCTTTCTCATCTCACTCGTTATCATTCTTTAGAAATTGACGAAGCAAATCACTCGTTCGCGACTACAGCAGTCACTGCTGATTCCTTCATTTATGTATTCCTTACGTAAATATTTTATTACTTATTTCTCTATAGTCCTTAGAACGAGCTTTTCTTTCTTCCTATTTTTTTCATTCATCCCGTAATCGCGACAATTAAAAGAAATATGCAAGAAGAATCTGCGAGTTATTTTCGCGAAGCAAAACAATGTTTAATACTGCGCTGTTATAAAATATACAACCGATTAGTTAAGGCATGGGTTTACAAATGCAAAGAAGTTTCGCTATTGGGCTATTGATGTGATGGTCACGTGAAATAAACTTACTGGCCGCGTACACTCCTGGGAAAATACTTAACGTAGAATCTAGTGAAGTGTTTAATAATAATAATAATAATAATAATAATAATAATAATAATAATCATAATAATAATAATAAATATTCTAATGGAATATTAAAGAACTAATCTGTATAATACACAGAGTAGTGATTTGTAGTTCTTTGTATTTTCGCAACTGTGACTACGAACATGTTTGAAACGACCATTAAATCATTTCTCAGAATCACGCAAAAAACAGTATTAAAGGACTCTCCAGAACAGCTTGGCATACGGATAACTTAATAAATATATGAAGGTTCAAAGGAATTTTTATTGTTGGTTTAAAAGGCCAATAGCGTATTATCTCTTTAACGTAGCAATTAATTTTCAATTTTAATATGATAATTGGTTTCAATCATAAGTTCATGACTGGTAATACAAACTAACAGTACAAGCAAAAACCTTCAAGGTGGGGAAAATACAGTACATTCTCACTTATATCCATATTCCAAAACTACGAATGTGCATTCTTGAGAAAAGGGCAATTACAAAAGTTTGAAGTCCAAGTAAAATTATATATTTTTTAAGTTTTAAATTTACTTATATATAATACTTAAATTATAAATTACTTTCTTTACGTACATAAATTTAAAAATTATATACTCTTTAAATTTGTAGTTAACCTTAAACCTTAAAGTTTCAATTGCCCTCCTCTCAAAAACGCATATTCGTAGTTTTGGCATATTTTTCATATTGTTCACATTTTGTTTCTTTTCAGAAAATATTGCATGTGAGAGAGAGAGGGGGGGGGACGTGAATAAAATCATTTTTTTCCATTTCGATATGAAAAATTGAGTTTTCTATATTAGGAAAGATATCTTTGTTTTCTCGAAGAAGTTCAAAGACCTCCACATTCCAACACATTATCTCCCATTCAGAGATGAAAGTGCCGCACACAACTTTGGAAAATAAGCGACCCTAGGAGCGCGGATCAGCGTGTAGTTGAGACAGACCAGTCTTCAACAGGTTCGGAAGAACACGTCCAGAAACAGAACAGGTACTTGCAATCGTTGAACCCTCTACTGTGAAATGAAACCAAATTATTCTCGCTATGCAAGTTCTGCATGCAAATTACGTAATAAAATTAATACTCGTGAATAAAGTTTAATTAAACTTCATTTTGTTTTATTTGGAACTGAGAATGTATTTACTTATGACGGATAAAATACCCATTCGTTTCAATAGGTAATATAGAGCAAATTAAACAGGAGAAAGAAGTGAAATATGTTTAAAATAAGAACAAGAATTATATTAGCCGATCCGGTGGCCGAGATCGCTAAGGCAGTAGTGCCGTAGCGAACTCGGACCGAAGGATCGCGGGTTCGAGTCCCGCCTCGTGCATGGTTGTATTGTGTTTCGTCCTTTCACCCCCTATCATCGTCATTATCGTGTCAACCCACAGTTACCATACCATTGCAAGCAATAGTGGTCGCTAATGACCTAGTAGTTGATGCGACCTTAAATAACAATATATATATATATTTTAAGAAGTTAATATCTGATTTCCATGGGAAGTACCAATCCAAATAGTAACACGTTGGAATTCTCCTAATGAATCTTTCTTTTAACACTATAGTCAATATATAGTGAGTATATGAATGTAGTTGGTCAGTTGGTTTTAAATTTCATGAGACTCAAGCACAATGACATATCATACATACATAGATTATACTACTATTATTAGAATTTATTTTAGAATATTATTTTATTATAGAAGTTACTATTATTTGTACATTGAAATTCTGAAACGAACAGGGTATACGGGCCACACTGAACTCGTTCTGACAACCAAACACATGACAAATGGGTTACTCGACTCTTATTTCAGGAGTTACTACGGAGTATCGCAACTGTCTGACAGAGGTGAGCATGGAGGCCAAGGTCAGATGCTATTGAGAGAAACATTTTGATATGTCGATGAGAATGATGAAGCGGTGATCCGAATTCGCCGAGACAGACTAAAATAATAAACAGAGACAATTTTATAATTGGTTTTAATGCTAATTGGAGTGTATGTATATGTATTATGTTTGAAGCTTTGCGTTACGAAGCACCTCTGCACCAGCACATTGGTTCACATATTTAGTCACACTTGTTATTCACATTTGTTACATTCAGAAGTTTCCAATAAACTTGATGAACAGCTCACTAAGTACTTAACATAACATCCCCTACCGAAACAAATATCAATAACGATCCTCCACGATCGAAGAAAACAAATCACGATAAAACAACCACACAGTGGAAGAAATCCGCTGCACATCGATCACCTAACCGCTATTGCATCATGACAACACATGAAACAGCATCCTAAGTATAATATAAATCCGTCAACCACATCCTCGAGGGCACTTGAAAGCCCGCCAGCTACAACGCTTGCTTAGAGTCCCTTCTACGAAGCTCACATAAACCCATCGTATCAGTCACCGCAAACGAGCACCAGTGGAACAAACGTGACATTCACGGCACGCGTTTACGTTGGCTACGATTCGCCACGCCGCCGCACCACGCCCGGCCCGTGGTGCACCAACTCATACGAGCACCAGTGCGACAAACTTCTCATTCACGCCACGCGTTGACGTTGGTTGCTACCTGCCACGCCGCCGCTCCATACCCGGTGCACCAACGCAACTCACGCGGGAAGGCACCGAAGACGCACGAGGCCACGGGGCGAGAGGGTTATGCAACAGCACAAGAACAGGAATGCGCTCCCGTTGGCGGAACGCTGGCATCTTCGCCATCTCATTCGTCACCACCGCTACGAGACTTCAACATCATTATAGACCGCGAATCGACGGGGTGACGACGGCATAGTCGTATTCATTGACATCGGTGTTATCAGGTTTTCATTTAAAATTTAGAGTACAATATAACGATTGTACGGGGGTGACCGAATGGGATAGAAAGGATGGAGCCCGGAAGGGAATTAATACGATGAAACCCTCATCGTCATTTTTACCGTCATTAGCGGCATCGTTGATGACTTAAAAAAAAATATAGTCCAAATAACGGTTGTTCGGGAAGACCCGGTGGGAAAGAAAGGCCAGACAAGCGCAAATGCGATGAAAATCATGTCTATGGTCGACATGGTTAATGCCGTGACTCCTTACCGCGCAAGTGCTGAGGATGACAGCGGCCGCGTCCTTCCACCACGACGCCATACCGCGAGTGGTGGCGCGCTTGTCAGGGGAAAGCTGGCAGCGAGCGACGAGCTGGTGGGTCGGACTCACGGAGCCAGCCGGAGCAACACTGCACTGGCCTGGCAGGCAGCGCTCGCGGTCGTCGTCTGCCGCCGCCACCGCCGCCAGTCGAGGACCAGCCCCGCCCCTAGCGTCCCGTCCCGCCACGCCACGCCACGCCGCCACGGCTGCCAGCCGCCGGCCTCCTTCCCTCCCACCTCGCGGCGCGGCGGCACGTCCCGGCCTCCAAACACGTGACCCCTCGTCACCAGGGGCACGCCTCCACTGCCGCCGGAGGACGCCGGAAGGGCCGGTGAACGCTGATGCCAATCAACGCCCCCAACCGGCGCGCTGTGACCTCGCCGCGAACGAGGTCGGAAAGATCAGGACGGTATTGACAAAGTAGTAACTCCTATTCCGGGCTCTCATGTGCAAAGATGGCACGGAACTACTTCGTCAGACCACTTATGCCTTCCACATAGCTCTATTCTCCGAATAAATATGATACTCTCGTCAACTGAAATATCTATAACTCAAATTGGTTGACCTAATTAAATTATTTCTACACATACCGAACTTTCTTTCGCCAACTCCAATCTCATTTAGTCGTAATATTTCTAAGTTTTAACTTTTTATATTTTCATTGGCATAGATTAATATCCAGGCACCGCTGTAAACGGTTTCCATGTTAACAAGTGGCTCCGTGAGTCCGGTTAACAAGTGGCGATTACTTTTGATAGAAATATATGATAAATGAAGTAAGTAGACAGGAGCGAGGTAGGATGAAGGAAGAAAGGATGATGAAGGAGGTACGTCAAAATCTTTTCAACTCATCAACTACAGTAAACAAAGTTATAAAAATGAAATTGTTTGTTCACGATAAATTACAGATAACTACCATTGTTTCATTAAATCAGAGTTTCATATGAACTATTGTAGACATTTAAATTGCAAATAAAACAAAAAAACAATTTCCTCACATTTATCGCGTTCTAATCGTTTCTAGCGTTACTTTAAGGAATGTCGCTTGAAGGTAGGGACTGATTAAGCAGATAGTTAATGAGAGAGTTCTTATTGACTTCAGTACAGGGGGTGTAGTATAATCACTGGTGGATCCAGGGGAGGTCATGTCCCCTCCCCCCTAAAAAAGTCAAGAGTTTTCGTTTTCCTACCATTATTTATCAAAATTGATTTAAATATATTTTGTGTTCTTATTATATAATTATGTAAACATAATACTGAAATATGTGTACAGTATAAAAATAATATACAATAAAATAATAAATATGTGTATTATTTAACAAAAATCTACGATGGCCCCCTCCAAAATGATCGGCCGGATCCGCCCCGGAGTATAATACATATTACAGTTTAGTGTTATCTTCTACGACTGCCAAAGATTTTTCACACTTTTCAAGATAACCTTTGGTAGTGACTGAAAAGGCTCGGCACGATAGTACATAGGCTTTTGTCACCGACTCTCGCTCAACTAACGACGCCGATCTAGTATTCTGTAAGTGGATCTATTGTAGTATTCTGTAGTATCTCTTCAAGCTAAATGCACCGAAAAATACTTGTAGGAAAATTCAATAGATCGCAGCACTATCACAGGGGAATTTACTTTACCGATAACGTCTGAACCAATGATCCCATTTTCGATCTATAAACCTGTCGCCTTTTTAAAATAGAATTTACGCTACGAAGCCCTTTTTCCAAAAATCTAGCAAAAACTTGAATTTGAAATTAGTTCTCAAACTACCGAGAAAGAATTAAAAACTGTGGGCTTATAGCGCGATGGCGACATCCTTTCTGAATCCAACGCCGTTACAATCATGCAAATCGAACGAATAGGAGCGTCGTAAAGTAAAATTTGGGATAACACCTGGCCCCCTCCCCCTTCCGCGTCGTTGCGTCACACACCCGCCCATTGTGGGCACTCTGTCGGCGCGGCGGCACGGCCAGACCCGGCGTCGTGCGGCAAGCCCCGGCGGAGGAGGCGGGACAGGCAAGACAGTCGGTTTATGCTTTCGTCTCAATCTATTTTTCCACAGATGTCAAACTAGAGATGCTATACTACTATTACAAGCCGAGGCAAACGGTCTGTAATAGTAGTACATAACTATATTTTTCACGTACTTCAGTCTTTCTTCGAATACCATCCTAAAATTATTTGAGGCATTACTCAAAATATCAATTCTGATTTGGAACTGTATGACTTTTGTCGATTGACTCAATCACACGGTATTCATGCAGTTGTGTTATGTGCACAATCTCGGCTATCGCCTTCTTTTGGTAATGGAATAATTATAGTG